GGGGAGGGGGGGGCGCGCACGGAGAGGTCTGCAGGGCAGGGAGGGCTGTTGGCGGGGGGACAGACAGCGAGGGCACCGGGGCCGGCGTGCCGCTGGAAGGAGGGCTCCCTTGTCTGGGAGGACGTCGGCCGGCCGGCGGGAGCCGGAGCAGGGGAGGGGAAGAGCACCCGCGATCCTTTTGCTGCGATGCTGCGTGCCGTGGCAGCGGAGGGATGCAGGCGTCTTTGTAGGGAGAGCAGCGCCGAACAGAGACGCCGCCGAGAATCCGAGCAGGCCCTTGATGCTGATGTTGTCATCTGTGTCTCTGTTATGTATTATTTCCAGCTGATTGGTAAAGATGGAAAGAGGGAGAGGAGGAGGAGGAGGAGGAGGAAGGAACCTGGGAGGCTCTGGCCTGCAGAGGAGCATTTATTCCCAGTCCCAGCAGCAGTACCATTACCCGGCCTCCTCCCAGGGGGGCTGCATGGAGATCCAGGAGCTGGCCTCCAAGAGGGTGGACATCCAGAAAAAACGATTTTATCTGGATGTGAAACAGAGCTCCCGAGGCCGCTTCCTGAAGATCGCCGAGGTCTGGATAGGAAGAGGCAGGCAGGACAATATCAGGAAAAGCAAGCTGACCCTCTCCTTGTCCGTGGCCGCCGAGCTGAAGGACTGCCTGGGGGACTTCATCGAGCACTACGCCCACCTGGGCCTGAAAGGCGGCCACGGTCACCGGCACGAGCACAGCAATGGCAAAGAGCAGCATCCCCGGAGGCGACAGCAGCACCCGCCGCCTTCGCCTCCGGTGTCTGTCGGCTCCGAAGAGCACCCTCACAGCGTCCTCAAAACGGAGTACATCGAGAGGGACAACAGAAAGTATTACCTGGACCTGAAGGAGAATCAGCGGGGGCGCTTCTTGCGGATTAGGCAAACCATGAGCAGGGGACCTGGCATGATGGGTTATTTTGGCCACAGCTTGGGACAGGAGCAGACGATCGTCCTTCCAGCGCAAGGGATGATTGAGTTCAGGGATGCTTTGGTCCAGCTGATCGAAGAATACGGCGAGGGGGACATAGAGGATCGCCGGGGGGGAGGCGATGAGCCCCCGGAGCTCCCCGAGGGCACCTCCTTCCGAGTGGACAACAAGCGCTTCTACTTCGACGTGGGATCCAACAGGTACGGCATTTTCCTGAAGGTAAGTGAGGTGAGGCCGCCCTACCGTAACACCATCACGGTTCCATACAAAGCATGGACACGGTTTGGGGAAAATTTTATCAAGTACGAAGAAGAGATGAGGAGAATTTACCACAGCCATAAAGAAAAAAGAATGGATGCCAGAGGGGACAGTGGTGAAGAGCAAGAGGGTCTCGAATAGAGTGCATTGGACTGGCCGTCTGGCAAAATAAACAAAACAAAACAAGCAGAAATTGGTGAGAGGGACTGACCTATAGTAATTCCAAGTCGCCCCGTTTTTTTGTAAAGTCCTTTTCCGGTAGTTCTCGCTAACTCCAGTCCGTAATGTTACAGGAGTCTGGTTATCACGTTAAATTACGCTCAAAACATCTCCGTATGTCTTATGAAAGTACCAACCTCCCGATCCCGTATGAGTCAGCTGCTTCGAGTGTTGAAGACTATGGAAGTACGCGTATCAGCACAAAAAAAAATCCGTCACTCTGACCTTTAAATAGTCTAGGTAAGGCTTGTGTTGCACTTCAACGTGATACAAAAAAAAAATCCCAAACCTTGTGCTGAAATGTATCGGTTTCTGCTTATGATGGGTTTTCCGGGACTGAATTCTGCCTGCGCTCGGTCAGAAGGCTGAGCAGCGTTAGCCATAGGGCACTTACGACAAAATTCGACTTCATGTGAATCGCTGCTATGCGTATGAGGAAAGGTAGAGGTTTTAAAATTGGCATCTGCTGGTTCTTGAGTTTGAAACGATATTCTGTGTGGGTAAAACCTCGATAACCGGTCAGACCTTTACAACGTGCTGGGGAAGAGCGGAAAATCTGTTATTTGTTTCGTAGTTTTGTGCTGACTGAATAACCCGAATATCCCAGGATAGCGAAGCTCTACTCGAGTGCTAAGCCTTCTGAATTAACGGCAATGAATAATAACCCGCTCCTCATCTACGTGTTCTGCCCATGCGAGGCTGGTGATTTTTTTATTTTTAATGCATTTCTCCAAAATTTCAAAAGGTATTTTTGTATTAGGGGTGTTAAGGGTTCCAGCAGGCAGCTGCGGAGCGGGTATTCGGGGGTGGAGGGACCGCCGCAACGGGGGCTCCCGGCTTCTCTCCCAAACGTGAGATTAATGCGGTCGTGATGTTACCCGTGCGAGGAAAACACCCGGGCGTTTTTCTCCTCCCGCTGCGAGAAGGACCTTTGGGGGGTTTGGTGCACCATTGGATTCGTATAAAAAGGCGTCTCTCTCACACTTACCCGTAGCGCGTTTCGGAAGCCGTGGTTAACGCCGTGTCGGGTTTTCTGTCGTGTTGATTTTACAGGTGGTGTTGTTAGGAGACGATACCGTGCCCTGCCATCACCCCCTTCCCACCCGCTCAGCGCTGGGGCTGTCATCGAGCAGTTCGATTCCTGATGGCCCACCACCGGGTTTCAGCGTCGTCCCGCTAAAGCCTCTGTAACATAAATTTTACATCTCACGATATAAACTCTCTGCCTGGAGGGAAAATGTGTACAATTACCTGGTTTAGGAGGTTGGCGAAAGATTTCGAAGGTTCTTTGTCATTTCTTAAAACGTGAATACTTATAACGTAAGGGGCTTCTCCAGCCTTTGGACGACCTGCTCCTCCCCCTCTGAAACCAGCGGGAGTTTGGTTGAGCTCCAGGTACTTCCAATAACGTGTTGCCCACCTCTAAGATTTTTTTTTAAGTAGGCGTTCCTGTGTCTAATCAGATATTTGTAATCGTTTGACTCGGTTTTTTACAGAGTGGCCTAGTGTGCACGTGGACCAGCTCTTTTCCCGTGCAACCATTACATGTTTCGTGGGTTTTTTTTTAATCTGTTGAGGAACGTATTTATCTCCGACCAGACCCTTCATCGCTCTTAAGTCTGGACCCACCTGCACGCTGCATGGCCACGCTCGATCCGAATGCTATTACCTGTTAACGTCATTAACGAGAAAAGCTGGGGAGGCAGGGGTGGGAACCAAGAGGGTAATCTGGACTTTAGTTTGGGTACTAAAACTAGTCGATCTGTTTTAACTTTAAAAAAAAAAAAAAAGAAAAAAGAAAAAAAAATAAAAGCTTGCACCAAAGTCACCAAAGAACCTTTAGGAAAATGTTACGGTTGTGACAAGAAGTAAGAAAGTTAATTTCACTGTTTTAGGTGATTCCCCCTTTAGGTAAAACCACACATAGCAGTTACAGCAACCAAGCCCCTGGCTTCGTGTCAAAAACTCCCGTCCGTTTCTGCACAGATCGCTCTTTCAGGTACTTTTTCAACTCTCGGAGAGATGTTCTCGCTCCACCACTTGAACAGCTAGCGGACCGTGATGAATCAGCTGGGGGTTAAACGGGGTGCTGGTTCATCGTCGCTCTTAGGGCTTTGGTCCCGATGGTTTTAACAGGTCAATTATAAAAAAAAAACCAACCAAACCCAACATTAAAGTAACTCTACATCCTATTATTGGTGTGAAACCAGAATTTAGTGAATGAGTCCTTGATGCGTACGTTAGCGTATCGCTGACTGCTGCTGCCCGTCACAGTGCCTGGAGTAAAAAAATTAACTTACCTTCCCACAAACCGGAGCTATGAATGTACAAACTTTTTACACTCTCCTTCCCGTTCCTACGTGGCGTTCCTCCCCTACGAGCTTGACATCTCCCCGTCCCAGCCTACCTTTGCCTCAAGGGATCGTAAAAGCTCCTGCGTTGGAATTAGCCCGAGCGGCCGCGTGTGTTGTCAGGGATCGTGCCCCCCCCTGTGTTCCTGTAGCGTTGGTGAGGAAAATTCTTGCGACGGGCAAAGCGATTGGAAGGGGATATTTTCTTCACCGTTTTAAAAGGAAGAAAGTTGCGAAATGGCTTTCCTTATCGCTGCCCATTTTTTAAAAAAAAACCTTTATCTTTTGTTAATAAATTGGCCTTCCGATGGCATTAGTTTGTTGTGAATATCACCCAGGAATTCAGCGTCTGCTGGCTACCGGGTCGGGCTGGCTTCTGGCACGCAGATCCACTAATGCATTTACTCCCCCCGGCGCGGGATGCACCTTAGTATCCGAAACTGGATCGGGATCTTCCACGTTCATAGCCGATGGCCCATGGGTAAACCACTAGCCACGGGTTCCCACCGCAATGGAAAGCACCGACGTTTGCAGATCTTGTCGTTGGAGGGTAGTACAGACTCACTCGAAATGTAGCAATGCAAGACTTTAACGGTGAGACTTGGAAACGGGTTCCTTGTTATTTTGGGCAGCGTGTCTTCAGCTTCCGAGAGCGGCGATAACGCGGGCTGCTCGCGCGCAGAAGGGCCCGTCGAGATGCTCGGGAGCGCCGAATCCCTAATGCATTTTAAGTGTTCGTTCCTGATGCCCTGAAACTGCCATGTCCCTTAAACTTGAGAAAACACAAGCTTATTTGCACTAGAAAGAACGGCCAAAAACAATCCTTAGGAGGACAGGGTGAAGAGCGCCAGTCTGAACCTCTTTTTCTCATGAGAGAATTTCCTATTCAAGCCCTCACCTCTGTTTCAAAATCGAATGGTCCCGGCAGAAAGTCTGTCAGTTCAATAATTAAATCGTAATGCACTTTATATTGTGTAAATAATACTAGGAGCACATTTCTGCTCCCGCTCTGGTAAGGGGATGCTTCGGTAACGTAGTCCAATGCTGAAAGAAGCCATCTCCTGCATGCACGTGTCTGTTAGAGACCTGTCGTACTCGCTTGGTCCAGCTCCGCTCCTGTGTTAGAGGACAGGCGCTATATTGAGGATCCTCTCAAACCACCAAGAGTGGGATGATTTTTTTTTTTTATTATTTTTTTTTCTTAAGTTGCGATTTGCAGAGCTGCTGAGCATCCTCAGCTCCGCCGTCGCTGCGGCTCCTCGCTCCTTCTCCAAATCGGGCCCCCGACGTTGCCGCCCAGGCTTAAAACCGAGCTTTTCACGTATCGTCTTGACAAAGCCGCGTCCAGCAGCTCCCTCGTACTTGGCTTTCCCCGCCGCTGGCGCAGAAGCAGGGGCGGGTCCCTAAAAAGCGTATCCCGGGCGGAGGGGGCTGCGGGGGCTTCCCCTGCCTTGCAGCCGGGAGGGGGTTGTGTTGCGTCCAGCCCATCGAGCCGGTTTTCTCGGTAAAGTACAGAGGCGGGGGCGTGCTAACGAAGGGTCGGGAAGCGTTTTGCGCTGGTGCGGTGAGGGTGACCCGCCGGGCGCTCCGGAGGGGATGGCAAAACCCGCCGTCGCGGGTTCGTCACGTCAAGTCCGGGTGACGGACTTTGCCCAGCAAGAAGCTGCAGCGCGGTTATTGGTTATCCGCTCGTCGTCGTCGTAAGTGTTTCTTATCTGTATCCGATATATACACATTCATATTCACGTATAGGCATTAATATATTTATGTGAGTATATTGTAGCCCGTAGTAGCTCGTAGCGAAATAATCTTATTTATCTGAAGTACGCAGTCTAAAGAGGGGGCAGTTTTCTCCTACTACCGGCCTGGATAAACGCGTTATTTCACCGAGAGCTGGTTGCGTGCTGTTTGTCGCGTCTCTTGTAAGATTCCTGCTTTTAAGCGCGCCCATCCCTTAGGTTTTCAGCACGGCTGCAAGGGAAAACGTAGTCAAAAGAAGGCAGAACTCTTCCTTGGAGGCGTCGTTGAGGTGAGGTGAGAGCTGTAAGGAAGAGGCAGCTGCGGGTACTGCCGGCCACATCGTGTTTCAATGCCATTTTACAACCCCTGGCTCTGCAAATCTCTACGGCCATGTTCATCAAATCCCAAGTAGAAGTCTTAAAAACCCGTCCTTTGTACAAAAAAAAAAAAAAGCAGTTACCAAAATAAATGTCAGCACACTTTTTTTCTGCTAAAGACGTCGTAGTCTAATGATCGCGTCATTTTTTTTTTTTCCCTATGGCCTATTGAAGTGACCTAAACTCACAGGGAAGGGAGCTGGTAGTGGTTAGGAAGCCTACTGCTCGCTTGGCTTGCAGCCCTTTTATCCAAGCGTAGTAATTTTTGTAGCAGAACAAGGTTTGTTATTGTGTATTTTTATTGGGCAGATTTTGCACCAGGTCGAAAGTTAATTAATAAGCGGTTTTAGTTCCATGGCATTCCTACTTTTGCTGTACATACAATATATATATACAATTTATAAAATAATTCTTAAAGAAAAGTATACCTTCCGTTTAATTCTCTATGCTGCTTCCTCCAAAATTAAAATGCCCTTTGTTTTTAATTACTTAACGTGTTGTGATGTCTGAAATTCACCTCTCCCCTCCTACCCCTCCATGCCTTTCAAGTAAAGGTTGTATTCGAAATACCGACTTTATCCAAGCAAGAGGGGAAATAAAGGCTACACTTGACGTGTCGTAAGCTACGGGCATAAACCCGAGCGAGGCTGTCGCCCCACAGCCTTTGCCAAAACAAATCGTCCCTCCGGCGTTGATCCTGCCGGCGTGAACGCTGGCATGGGGGAGCAAAGCTTCTCCAGCGTGCCCGAGATTTCCCGAAGGATCGGGAGAGCGTGATACGTCCCCGTAGACGCCTGGCAGGCTGGGACCGTGGACGTTGTCCCCTTGGTTGGGCGTGTGGGCGGTGGCTTGAGGTGGCAGCGGGTTTAAGCCGTCCTCCTCGTACCTGCGGACGATGCCACGTGCACAAGTCGTTTCCCGGCTGTAGGGCATACTCCCCGATGGGCGGTGGGTCTATCATCTTTACATTATTAACGCTAGCGGGGTGATGCCTTCTGTTGACACCCCCCCCCCCCCCTTTCATTTTCTTGGGGGTCATCAAAATTTCACTGCATCGATGCAAAAACAAGCAAATTTGAGCATCTGGAGGAACAAGGTGTACCCGTTGGGCTTTTTTCTCCTCTGCAGAAGTGAAACCTGGGGTTCGTGTGAAGGGCCTCGGTTCCCCTCTGCGTCCTACACGCTTGCAGTGCGTTATCGCTTAGCCAGTCGGTGGATG